TTTTTTAAAACCGACAAATCGCCAATTTTAGGCTTACTCTTTATACCAAAAACGCAAGCTAATTGTTAATGGCCTCTACTAAATTTCGACTGCGGCAGAAAGTCAAAAAACACTGATATCGGACATTAATAAACATAAAATACGTATGTTAATGGAATTGGTAGGTGATGAAACTTTATGATAATAAACATTGTTATTTTAGCGTCAGTTAAAATTAATTTTAACTTTTTTCGGTCCTATTTGAATCAGATGCTGCGTCTGCTATTTTGTTTTCATGTAACATTTCATCTTTCTTTGTTAAAGACAAATTTTCATATAAGATTTTATTTTCTACATAAATTTATTAATAATTGTAGGATTAATATCTTGAAACATGTTTCAGAGCCAGCTTCTGGTTTTTAACATGTCCGAAATTTTATGTCCGTAATTATCTTAGCAAGTCAAAAGAATTATTCAAATTTCTTAGTAATTGTTTGGCACATTAGTTTTTTGTAATATGTTTTAAAAGAACAATTGCAAACATAAATAAGGATGAAACTTGACTTTCATTGTCCCTCTGTCTTTTGTTCGTTTGAAATAACGGCATTCATTGCCAGCTTAGCGCTCCAGTCGGTTCAATCTAGTGTATGTTTTGTTCTCCGCCGATTTGCCTGCCAAAATGAGTCTTCCTCGAGTATTTCGACATCAACCGCTGATGGACCAAACCTATGGAAGGATTACAATGGAGTGAGTTAAAGAAAGTATACGTATATTTTAATTTAGTGAATTCTCTACTTAGTTTTGTGAATTAACAATCGTATAGCATTGAGAATGCAAGGATCACATATATAGATTGTTCAAATAATGCATTAATAAAGGTCTTGAACCAATTGAAAGGTGACAAGTATCGTATTACAAAAATTTGAGTTTTGATATGTTCCGAAAAGACATTTCAGCCATATTGACAATGGAATTGTCTTTCAAACAATAGGCATAAATGCAAAATAATTAATGTTTCTCTGTAAAATTTGATATCGAATCGCTGCCGTTTGATAATCAATTTATATTCGCATATACGTTCATTTCTTGCAGATCCAGAATGTCTTGTGATCGATTTTTTAACTTTCAAGTTTAAGTTGATGTAAGAAATTGTTAGGGTACATCATCATTTACCGTTAAAAATGAATATGCCCATCATTACATTTCTTGGTGCCACAAGAACGCCTTGAACGAAAGAAATATCTACATTTCCTAAACATTTTGCATATAATCTAATGTCCAGCTGTCCGCAAAAAACGTTGGCAATTTCCATAAACTTATTTTATGGTATTGCGCTTTCATTTAATTAACCCCAAAGCGAGAAGTTCAAAAAAAATATCGCAGTGTATATAGAACAGTTTAAGGGTAATGTCTTGAAACGCAAAAAACTAGTTCCACTAGAGTGGATATAGTCAACATATTTTTTTCTAAAATTTTCAGGAAAATATGCTACTGATAAAGGAAATGGAAACACAAATATTTTAATCGTCGTAATATCACTTACTATATGCATTCTTCCTCCGAAAAATGCTGCGACATTTTTGTCTGTAAAAACTGTATTTAACTCTTGTCTTGTTAAACGTGCGTGATGCATGAGAATTCAAAACAGATGCATGGATATTCAGACTGTTAAACAATTGTGCATGTTCCATTTTTATTTCTTTTCAAATTTTATGAATTAAGTTATATTAAGATTTTACAATTGGCCTTGATTTCAGTTGCGATCAGACGTTGTACAAAGGACCGCAGAAAACTTCGTGCTTTAGGCACTGCGAGAAAAGGGATATGGGCTACAAAGGCAGCACTTTCCATCGTGTTATCCCACATTTTATGGGCCAGGTTGGAGATTTTACAAATCACAATGGCACTGGCGGAAAACTATTTACGGAAGACAAATTCGAGGATGGAATTTAATTTGACACATACCGGTCCAGGTATACACAATTCATTTTTTTATATAAAATTTAAGTGTTTCTCGTGTGCTAAAGAATGCACTTTACAGTGTCTTGTCCATGGCCAATGCTGGGACGCATACTAACGGCAGCCAGTTTTTCATTACAACTGCCAAAACAAGCTGGCTTGACAATCGCCCGTTGTATTCGGCAATGTTGTGAGGCATGATACTTGTGAAGAAAGTAAGTTAATTGAAGTAAATACAGAAGTTTTCAAAAAGTTTAAACTGGGAATATTTAAGGTTTGTTTTATTTTTTTCAGTTGGAGTCATTTCGGTATCTCAGAGTGGCAACCTTTCAAGAAACTAATAATTTCTAATTGCGGCCAACGTCTTGAATACACCGAAAATGTCGCAAACGTTTCCCACAATTACATTCACATTTGAGTTCATAGTTTTTGGAAAAATCTTAATTGAGGGCTTAATATATAAAATAAAGCTTACACATCAATTTTCTCCTGTTAAACATAAGAAAGTTTTGTAAAGGAAAGTTCGAAATACTTCGTTGGAACTAGTTTCGTTAATTTTATCATGAATCATTTATTTTTTCTATCTAGATGATCTTTTGATAGAAAAGGATCTACGGGGTTGCACTTTTATTGTGATAATTTCAGGGAACAAAAAATCATTAGTTGCACACATATATATGAAAGGAAAAGCTTTAATAAAAACATTTACAAAACTAAATTGTTATAATTTGTAACCTGATCCAACATGTTTTTTCATCCTGTACTTCCAGCAATTTCTTATAAAATACAGGTATTATCGGGTAGTAAGGTTTCTGATAAAGTACTATAATAATTTAAAATAAAAGTTTACTCGGGCGTCAAAAACCCTAAATAACTTCACTGGTATCAATCGTGGAACGATCAATATCAACATAAAGATATTGTTAAGAGAGCAGCAGCCAGCGGGAAGAACCAAAAGTCTGCGTAGAACCAAAGAGCCACTAGGATATTAGTTACAGGTATTGTAGATTGCTCTTGGACGGGTAATAAAAAGTATCTAAATTCCGATCGAAGCAGTTTCCGCGTTTTTTCATTGCGGTAACTCCGCCTCCTCTGACGGAAATGGAGGAGGAACTATCCATCGAGAAAAGGACCAACCTAGCTCGCAGTAATTATATCTTAAGCCACTCCGCGAGCGACGAAGGCCTTCAGAATCCTAGAGAGGGCCTCTGAGGTAACCATATACTCGCGGGTCATTTCAAAACCATTACATATTTTTTTCCGATTCATGTGAAATGTATTCGTTACATATTGCCGCTTTTTACTAGACTGCCCTGTAAAAAATTAAATGCGATCGGGTGAAAAACACACTACACAAATAAACGGTTTTCTGGAATAAGTGTATCTTCCATGGCTTATCAAATTCCCTGAGTTGCACGATTACATCGTTATTTGTCGTGATGGAATCGAAATTGTCTTATTTATTAATGTTGCAAACTACTCGCTACAATGTTATCAGCGAAGTGAATAATTAAAATTTTTCTGTTAGTTGCTGAATGTGTTACGTAATTTTAGTTTGACATTCTTGATAACGTATTAATTACAGCTGTTTTCCCCAAATAACTACCACCGTTTGCATTCCAAAATACAAGGAGTTTATAGGGGGTTGGGGGTTTCAACTTCAAAAAAAGGTCCTACTATTTACCAAACTACCCCAAAAAAAAGAAACAACTCCCTTTTCAATTAATTAAAAAAGAGAAATGAGATTTTTTTTGTAATAATTTGATTTTACTGCGGCTGACATCAATGCCGCAGCAAATGAAGTGAGGAAATTAAAATAGCGCTAACTTAACAAGTCTTTTTTCCAACAGTGAAGGAAATGCGACAATGGAAATTGAGATGTAAAAGTTCAGAATTTGCACAAAATCTACTCGTCAGGACACGAAATTCCATTCCAAAAAAAATGAGAGCAAACCGAATCCGTATGGGCTGTTGTAAATGTGCCACCAATAGGATGAGTAGGTTTTTTCTGCTGCATGTCTCTAGGACTATGTAATTGGGTAATTAATCCATTTTGAATCATACCCCGAGTGTTGAAGTGTTCTGGAAGACCCCAATAACATCGAGTCAAACATCGATACATTCAGACAGCCATTCCCATAAATAGCCGCGCAGCATTCAAATTTGAATGGAAATTTGCACTATTCGTTTGCAAGACACAGAAAGTATTTTCAAAAATGTTTTAGAATTCCAAAAAAATTCGTTTCATTATCTGGACTGTTCGGTGCTTCAACGTCAACTAAATTAGCACTCTTAATGAAACAGACGGGTTGCATTTGCGCTGTGGGAGAGAGCACCGCGCTGGGACTCGAGCCGGAGCAACTAGTGCCGAAAATCCTTTCGTTGCTAGGGACACGAACCTTAGCTTTCCGGTCAGACGGCACTGCATCTACATTCAGTTGATAATGCAAAGTTTGTGGAGCTCAGAAAAGGCGAGGAAAATCCATTTCATTATGAATACGCACAATGTATCTAATATATAGAGGTCTGGATGTTGAGTGTCTTGCTATCAGCGATTATGGGTGCACGATTTAGCAACGTTGCTACAGTTGTTAAACCGTTTCAGGAAGTGAACGATCTCTTCCGGCCTTGGGAGAGACAAAGTCATTTTTAAAAATGTTTACATATGTGTAAAGTGTTTCAGAGTCGCTTGAGTGTTTCGTGAGCCGAAAAAGTGTAGAGCAAACAGTATGCAGTCCCACGAAATCGTTATAATGAACGTGATAAAAATTGATATAATATTCGTACAAGCCGAGAGCAAGAAATGCCTAACAAGTTAAACACCGGCATTCAAGTTCCAATGTCTTCCATGTGGTTATTTTGCGTATCTTCAAGAGGGCACACAGTCTTGTTGCCTCTTCAATATGCACTCTAATGGTTCCCAAAAAAATTTAGCTCCCAAAGCCCGCATTTCACGAATTTAATCGTGTTTTTTTCACCTGGCTGAACGATTAATCCTTCGCTAATTCTTTACAATGTACGATTATGTTAATAAATGCCAAGAGCAATACCAAAACAAAAAAAAACCAAACATCCAATTTTCAATTTCAAAAACGCCTACTTGGCAGAACATTACCGTTGTAATACACAAACTCTCACCTCGGGTTGGAGCCCCGACGGTGACAATTTATACACTAGGCTGATTGCTAGTCGAATTCAGCCGTTGCCTAGAGGAGCAATCTAGCGGATCGTCTGCTCTGCATAGGTTAACCACTACCAGGCGAATTCGCGGACCAGTGCCCCAAAAAACAAACGAGCCAGTGGCCGCGCGCAATCTTTCCTTCTTCATCCTTGATCCTATCCTCTTCCCCCTCTTCAATCGCATTCACACACGTCAGGAAGACCAGAAAGCTAGAGCTTTATCCCGGTCTAGGGGCCGTGTCCCACTAGGGGATTCTACCGCGTAATTCCTCCCGCAAACCAACGTGTAGGTCAGTACCCCGGGATTTCAGCTTTTTCAGCTGCGAGAGGGAACCCTGTCGCTTCCCTAGGATAAAAACTTCTCTTCACTAATGATGCATGCCCCTTGCAGTTGACATTTCCGGATAAATCATTCCAACATCGACTCGTGAACGAAATTTTAAATTAATCTTGTAACCTCTGGCTCTCCGAAAGTACACTTCTAAGATTGGAAGTCCACTGCCCAAGACGATGATCATAGATGAATTCATTCCAACCACGTCCCAGAAAATAGATGTTTTTCCTAGACATAACAGGGCAACGCATATTCCGTCTGGCTACAAAGGTGTAGTTTCCAGGAAAAACAAAAACAATATTTTTCATGTAGGAAAAAGATTCATTTAGGTTATTTTTGTTGAGGCACCGCCAGAGGGGGAAAGTGCCGGGAAGCAGCATGATGCCGTGTTTTTCAGTAGCTGTTTACCGCAACCATTAACCGACTAAGGCGGCGAACATCTCAGAAACTTGAAAACGTGTCTTGGACCAAGGCATGCCATACTCTATCAGCTGTACCGACTGCAGGTTAGCATAGAGCCACATCGTCGGTTTCTGCCGCGATTGGACCGTGATGACGCCCTAGGGTTCGAGCCCCAACGTAGCCGGTTTTTCGACAGATAGCTAAGGTCGAAATTTTAGCTGCTGTCTGGAAGAAAATTTCTAGCGGCCGGTGCTCTGCAATCTACGGTTTTCTCTGGTTTCTCAATCAACACAGGCTGAATGGAGGGTCAGTACCCTAATAATCGGACTATGGACCACGTGCTATCTTTCGTCCTCTTCCTCGTTTTTATCTCCGTCTTACTCACACACGCACATCGAGTGTATTGCCATTTACATTACGTTTTACATTTTCTGTTTTTGCTTTTGAGCTATTCTTTGAGGTTATTTGGTTTGTTGATGAACTTTTATTATTGTTTTAAGGCAACTGAGGAGGAAACTCCTTGGTGATTTTATTTTCTCGCCATTACTACATCATTACGTAATAAGAGGGGGGAAATTCTAATGTTGGCGGGTAAAATCAGCGGTTTTTTCTAAAAGAAATGCTGCGAATTGCCGAGGGGCCTTGGTTATCAAAAAGTGAATGTTACACAGACTTATTGCGTTTTTGATTGTAAGCCAATTTTTCGGTATCACGAACTCACGAAAAGCGTTGTAGAACACAAAGTGTTTGAAGAAGGACTTTAGCTACATCAAAGATGTATGGCGTTGGTTGTATGCGAGAAATTAAAATCAGATCAAAAACATATTAGCAGCACATCAACACTCAAATTTTCCTCAATTCGAATTTTAAAAAATGGAAGAAAAATTAAGTCGCAGTGTTTAGAAATATTTAAAATGCCGCATTGGCGTTACAATCACCAAACCGTCGAATCGCAAGCTTACTAGTAGTTCGCTGGGAAAATTTTCGATAAATCGCTCTATACTCAAAGGTTTGGCATAACCTGAACTTGTGTTACAGAACACCAAACAAGTACAGAAAACAGATTCTCTGGTGAAAAGTTGGGCAACTGGATTCAAATGGAAAGTCACTACCTACTCTCCCAACGGAAAGAAAAACTTTGATGACAAAAGAGTGCCATCCTCTCTTTAAACAAGTCTTGATGAAAATATTTTCTTATACTATAATTTTTTATTAACTATAATTCAATATTTTTGTAATTAGCAATTCCATTTCAATTGATTTTTTCTCTCTATGCAG